TTTTGTAAAATTTAATCTAGAATAATTGATCAATAAATAATATCTTTTATTATATGATTATACAAACTAAAAGATAAATAAAAATACAGTATAACCAATAGATTATTTTGGGTTGACCAGTGACCAACAACCTTAAACTGCAAAATTGTGGTATCTCACGCAATCTAGTGGCGAAGACAGAGAATGGTCCCTCAGTTTTTCTTGTCTTTGTCGTTGGGCGACACAAATGGATGGAGATCCTCTCTAAGAGTTTTGTTACACATCCATCATCTCTTTTATCAATTTTATGCTCCATTATTGTACAGAGTACATATAAGGAATCCTTTGTTAATTACTGTCTTCTCCCCCTTTATCAACAAACAAAATCATGGTTATCATAATGTTTTATCGTCGTCATCCATGAATATACCCCTTCATCATCTGCTTTTCATTTTGTAAAAAGTTAAATCAATAATCCTTTATATATCTCCTTACGTAAATACTTACTTATACTCTATATATACACAGAGAGAGAGATTTACAATGTAAAACCCTTACTAATTCCCACTGAAAGTTCCTTCTCCCTTTTTATAAACAAGAGTGCAAATTAAGCAGGACCACATTCTTGCTATTAACATTACGTTTTATCTGATTTTTAAGTGTTAAGATGTTGAAGAGCTTTGGGAATTTGGTGTACATAAGATTAATTATCTTGCTAATAGTAAAAGCTTGAGAGAATTTATGATAATTAATTAATGAAGATAAAAATAATATTATTGAGAAGTAGTAGACTTGGACTTTATTAGCAGCATAGTTAGCAGTGTTGTTGTTGTAACTGTGTCATACACGTGGCACTGGCTGTGTGATTAGTTGTTAGGAGGTTGTTACTCGGTTGTTAGGGCTAACTGCTCCATGCAGTGTGTATATAAACCATCTTATGCCCAGTAATCAAGTCATGCCATTTTTCTATAGTTATTTCTATATTTTAACATCATTCTAATATGGTATATTTTGCCATTGATCTTGGGGCTTTCTGTTTGGCTTCCGTTGCTTGAGCGGTTTCTTGATGGATTTCTCCACCAGTGCTAAATCCTTCTCTCACAAGAAGGTAAATGTCGTCCTCGATGAAATGAATTTTCTCCTTTGGAAGCAACAAATCTTGCTCACCATTCGGAGTCATCATTTAGAGCGATTGCTTACAAGTGTTGTGGTGACTCTACAGAAGACTGTGGTCGATGATGATGGTATTGTTTGTGTCAATGAAGCGTATTAAGACTTTGTGGCACAAGACAGTGCTCTTGCCTCCTGATTATTGTATACTATTAGTGCTCATCTTTTTCTGCAATTAGTCAGAGCTGAAATGGCGGGTCGTATGGAATACAATCCTCCAATTTTTTGCTAATCGCTCAACAACAACTGTCATGAGTTTTCACTACAAACTTTAGTCCTTAAAAAGGAGGCGATAGTATGTGTGCTTACCTTACTCATGTGAAGGAGGTTTGTGATGCTTTAGCATCCTGTGGCAGTGTGGTACCTCAGGTTGAGCATAGTGTGAGTATTCTGAAGGGTCATCCACGAGAATATCAGTCTTTCGTGGCGGTTATAACTTCCATGAGGGAAACTTTGTCCTTAGATAACATTTATACTATGTTTCTTGATGCAAAAAAAAACTTGCTAGTTTTGATTATCAGCTGGAGTAATTGTCGATGAGTGCAAATATTACTCAGGGAGAGATCAAGAGCTCGTCGATGTCGAATAAAGGTTCTTATCAAAGATATGCTTATTCGTCTGGATCTCAAGCTGGTGGTCGTGGTCGTTACATATCTCGGGTGCAGTGCCAACTTTGTGGAAAGGTTGGACACCTTGTTAATCGATGTTGGTATATATATGATCAAGATTTCGCGTGTGTTACTTCTGTCAATCGTGGGCAATACCAATTGAGTTATAAGGCTGACTCCTCTACAGGTAAATTTTCGATTTCATCATCTTATGGTAGTTGTGAGTGATGTGCTAAACGAAAGACTGGTTCAGTTGTGGCTGGCTAACCGCAGGCTCCTGTTACTTCTATGCAATCTGAGCATTGGGTGGATGCGTTTACTCGCCACACTTGTATTTATCTTTTAAAATGTAAGGATGACGTTGTGTTAGTATTTCAGCTATTTTAGAAACTTGTAGCTAACCAATTTGGTCTTACTATCAAGGCTTTATAAACAACTGGGGTAGTGAGTTTCAGATCTTATCACCAGTATTGGTTCAGAAGGAATTACGCACTGGCTGACATATTTGCATACCTCCAAGCAGAACAGTGTTGTAGAGCGGAAACATCGTCATATTGTAGAACTATCTCTTGTTCTATTAGCTCAAGCATCTATACCGGTTAAATAATGGTCTTATGTTGTTATCTCTATAGTTTACTTGATCAATCGTCTTCCTACTAAAGTTCTACAAGGCTTGTCACCATTTGAGAAACTTTTTGGAAAAAATGGATTATTCCATGATAAGGGTTTTCGGGTGTCAATGTTTTCATCACTTTAGGATGTTTCAAAATCATAAGTTGTCCTTTAGTCTCAAGCCTGCACTTACATGGGTGTTAGCCCTCACCGCAAAAGGTTTTAATGTTTGGCTCCTGATAGAAGAATATATGTTTCTCCCCATATTGTATTTAATAAATCTATTTTTCCGTTTACAGGAACGAGGCCTTGTGATTCATTAAGTTCTGATGTGAACACAATTTCAACTCCTCAATCTTTACGAGTTGTTATTGATTTTAGGAATTCATTTTTTCAGTCTTTACATGGTGCCCAAAATACTACTACTCCACCTACTGTGAATGATTTTGTTGATGGCGGCTCTCAGCACACCTCTGATGATGTGGACGCTATTGCTTTAGAAAATGTTACACCTGCGAAAACTGTTGGTGCTGGTGCAGGTGCAGAGGCTAAAGTTGTTCGTGATGACTCTGATATTGTCGATGTTGATACTATTTCCACTTTTAAGCCTGATGTCAGTGTTCCTTCCTCTCGTATTCATCCTATGTTAACACGTAGTCGATGTGGAATTTTCAAACCTGAAGTTTTTTCGAGTGTTGTGGATGATGACGTTCCTGCTACAATATGTGCAACACTCTAGTCTTCTCACTGGGTTGTGGTTGTTTATGATGAATATAACGCCTTGAAAAAAATGGAACTTGGACCCTGGTTTGACTCCCTGAAGGCAGGACTTTGTTGGGTAAAAATGGTTTTTTCGTATTAAACGTAATCCTGATGGATCTGTTCAGCGATACAAAGCCTGCTTGTTTGCCAAAGGGTTCTCTCAAATTCCAGGGTATGATTTTAAGGATATGTTTAACCTTGTTTTTCATTTTTCCATTTTACACAGTGCTAGCCATTGTTGTCTCTAATGGTTGGGAGCTTAGGCATGTTGATATAAACAATGTGTTTCTTAATGGAGATTTAAGTGAGGATGTCTACATGCAACAACCTCCTGGGTTTGAGTAGTTTAATGACCATGGCAAGCCTCTTGTGTGTAAACTCCAAAAATCTCTTTATGGTCTTCGTCAGGCACCTCACAATTGGCATGTTAAGCTCAAGGACAACATGTTGCTAATGGGTTTTGTAGTATCTTGGGCGGATCCTTCATTATTTCTCAAGCATGTAGACAATGGTTATATTTACATCCTTGTGTGTGTGGATGATATAATCATTACGAGGCAGTCTTCCATTGTTATACAGGAGGTTGTGTCAATTCTGCAGGATCGTTTTTCAATTAAGGATCTTAGGGAGTTGAGCTTCTTCCTGGGAATTGAGGTCAAACGTGTTGATGGTTCAATAGTTTTGAGTTAGAAAAATATATACTTGAGTTGTTAGAGAATATAGGGATGTCGACTGCAGCAGGTTGTGCCACGCCAATGTAGTATCATCCGAACTCTCTCATGAAAAGAGTGATCTCATTCTTAATGCTAGTGAATACAAAATATTGTTTGCTCTCTTCTATATGTTTGTCATACACGACCTAACATTTCTTTTAGTGTGGGACAAGTTGCTCAATATATGCATGCACCACAGGAAGTTCATTTTGTTGCAGTAAAAAGAATACTTCGATACTTATCCTTCACTATTAACTTTGGATTTCTATTCTCACATGTTGTTACTAGATTGAACATTGTTGCATTTGATGATGCGGATTGGGGTGCTAGCATTGATGATCGACTCTCCATAATTGGGTATAGTGTGTTCTTGGCAAATGCCTCATTATATGGTGCTCGAAAAAACAACGTACAATACCCTGTCCACGATGGAGGTCGAATACAAAAGTGTAGCAGATACAGCTGTTGATATAACTGGTAAATGCTCTTCTAACTGATTTTGGCATTCAACAATGTTGTGAGTTGGTTGTTTGATGTGACAACACCATTGTTGTGGCCATGATGCCAATCATCTATAATGCTCATCCAAGCATGTTGATCTTGATGTCTATTTTGTTCGTGAGAAGGTGGTTGCTAGTCAACTATATGTTAGTTATGTCCCTGCCATGCATCATAGCTGATGGGTTTACTAAACCTCTCTCCTGAGTTGTTTTGAAGAGTTTTGATCCAAAATGTGTGGTCATTCTTTTTAATCAAGAAGATGAGGAGAAGTATATATAATATTAACAGTATAATTAGCAGTGTTGTTGTAATTGTGCCATAAACAATCCTAACAACTGAGTAACAACCTCCTAACAACTAATCACATAATCAGTGTCATACACGTGGCATGGTTGTGTGATTAATTCTTAAGAGGTTGTTACTCAGTTTTTAGGGTTGTTAGAGCTAACTGCTCCATGCAGTGTGTATATAAACCAACTTATGCTCAGTAATCAAGTCATGCCATTTTTTCTGTTATTTCTATATTTTAACATATTCTAATAGACTTTATCAACTATTTACTCAACCATCTTAGTCAAAAAGGTAGGTTACTTGATCTTTCTAAATTTAGGAGTTCCTTGTTAACACTAGCAAACTATTTTTAGGAACCAAGTTAAGGATTAATTACATTATATTTGACAATTAGAGATGATAATTATCTACACATGCTAGTTTAATTACATAAATAGGTTCATCCAGTCCAAGCCATGGATATAAGTGTCTTGTCCTAAGTAGAAAACATCTTGATCATATCCAAATTCCCCAAGGAAAGGTGGTGGGTCCATTGAAAGAGCCGATGATGAACTCGGACTGTTACTCGAAACCCCATCTATACGTTCCGTCAGCCCTTGGATTTCCTTCTCCGCCTCTCCAAGTTGTCCCTTCAGGTTCAGAACCTGCAAAAAATAGAGTTCAAAACACCCATGTTTTGATCAAATACTTAATGTTGTGTAATGAAGTGGCAAAGTTTACTGTTCATTGTCAATGTTTTTGTCACCTTTTGTCCAAAGTTTTCTTGATAAAGTTTTATAATGGCCTAATCCAACAACATGGCATGGTTTTCTTCGAGCCTAGAGCTCATGCACGTTCCTAATATGGTGGGTCACCTTGTCTTTTTCCAAGGGTATAAAGATTAAAGGGGCAGGCACTTGCTTGATTTTCTTCGAACCTACGCTCTTAATTCTTTTGTTAACTTCAAAAAAATCTCATAAATTACGGAAGTGAGCTCCTATCATCTTTTCGTTATAAAATAATAAAATAATTCATGTTGAAAAAAAGGAGAAAAACATGTTATTGGGTTAGAACTTAACATCTGTTTGATTCCTGAGAGACAAGAATAAAAGAAGTTTTTGAAAAATGGTTTACCAGAGAAAAAGATAGGTTTAATAGAAAAAGGGTTTGTGTTTAAACATCCAACAAAGTTAATCATCCTTCGTAAAATGTATGAACTCATTTGAGGTTGAAATAATTATACCTCCGATTCAAGTCGACATTTTTCAAGCACAACCCCTTCATGGATTGTCTTTAACTTGTTGTACTCCTCCTCAAGCTTCTTATTCTTCCAGCGGGCCCTTCGATTTTGGAACCAAACCGCCACCTGCCGAGGGTCCAGCCCCAGCTCCGAAGCAAGCCGGTCTTTCCGTTCCGACTCGAGCTTATGTTCATTTCCGAAATTAAGTTCAAGAAGATGAACTTGTTCGTCACTAAGCTTCCTTTTCTTAGCTGCCGCTGCAGCGCCGCTTTCCGCAGCCTTGTTCTTCCTCCGCCGCCGTCGAGGCTTCTGTCCCCCTGTTCGTTACAAAAAAGGGTCTGTTTAAGCTACCAAGATCGTTGAAAAATCATAAAAAGATTCAAGTTTTAGTTTTTACTACACAAATTATTACCTTGCTGTGGTGCAACTTGAGTGTATACCCCAGGGTACATTTGGGAGATAAGAGCCATATACTCTTCAAGCTCTTTCATTTGGGCTGCCATGAATCTTTGCTTAATCTTTTTTCTTTCTTTCTTCAAGTTTTTTCTTTTTCTCTCTCTTGAATTTAGTAATGGATGATGTCTATGGTGGAGAAGTGGATATGTTGGAAAGAAAGGTAGTTTATTTATAGGGTTGAGTACTACTTAAGTAGTAGTTAGTTGCCTTGAAGGTCACCCTATCAAAGATTGGACTTCATTGCTTCATGAATAACAGCAATGCCATTATTTGACATATTAATTTGAGACAAATGAAAGTTTATACTTTAATTATTTAGTTTTCACCTATCTTATAAATATGTGGATCAGGATTTTTTACACAAATGGAAGATCAGGTTTAGAGATAAGGTAAAAAGATATTGTTATTTGAAACCTAGATTTATTTTATGTTTATTTTCTAAAAGTGATTTATTAATAAAACATAACTTTATTTATCATCACACTTAAATTTATATTTTTTAATAATTGAGAATGATTACAAATTAATATATGTTCGGAATATGTTTTAGTCATTAATAATACATATAAACCCTACAAAATCTAGTTGCTCGAATTTGAATCTTATAAGAAGAATAATATTTATCTTCTATAACCGAAGTCATTCAATAAATATTTTAATAACATTGTAACAACAATAACAACTTAACCAATACTATGCAATAGTCATACTCCTGATAAGATAGTGTGTTGCCTTGAAAGTGAACAAAATACTTTTATCAAAATCCCAAAATGTGCACGATTGATATACCAATTAAAAGACGGTAATAAAAAGAGATTTTCCTAATCTCAATAGAGAAAAAAAACCTATTAATTAATTAATAAAAGTAAAAGGATGATATATCCCACGAAGCTTCCTATTTTTTTTTAATATTGAAATTACGTAACCTAATTAACATTTGATCCCCTATGTTTGGATTAGGCTTTCCTAATAAGGTAATTAAGAGCAAAAGTGAGGGTGAGCAAGGGAGCAAATCAAATATTTAAAAGGGTTTTGGTATCACAAATCTTACCAACTTAAAAAAAAGGAGTTGTGGTTGGCCTCTGGATTTGGACATGCAATGGCAAGTCACCTTTTGTTGTCCAATTAGGTGGTATCTTAACTCTTTCAATCACTACTATTAGCCAACTCATGCTTTCTTTTGGCTTTAGCCAACCTTGCCTTTTTTAAGTTTTAACCATTGCAAGTTCCAAGGTCGTATTGGGCGAAATATAAAATTTTGGGGTTATTTTATTGGTATTATTTCATTGATTTAGTTACAAATATATAAATATTTATATAAAAATAATTTATATTTTATTATACTTCTCTAATCCTATTTCGTAATCACAATTTTACTATTATTTTTTTAGATCAAATTCTGAAGTCCTATGACTTTTTTAAAATTTTTGAAGTCATATATCTTTCAACCAGTTATATTGACATGATCATCGACAAATTAATAAAATTTAATCTATCAACTAAATTAATTATCCATTGTTAGAGTATTATTAGTTTGTTATGGTTTGTTATTAGCTTGTTATTAGTTTGTTATGATTTGTTGGTTTCATACTTTTGTATTAGGTTGTAAGCAGAATATTTTTTTCACTGTTTAATAAAAAAAATTCTTTTGTCATCTCTCCCTCTTATCGTCTATTCCTCATTTACTAACTCAGGTCCATCGGCCTTCCATCACTCTCAGCCTCTTTCACCGTTGCGCCGACGATTGAGTTCTTTTACTGTTATTTCTGATCTCCCATCAAACTTCATTTTCAAAGTTCAACAAATTCCCTTCCGCTCAAAATCTGAAATCATGAGCTCTACCGCAGCAACTACCAAAGGAGGCCGAGGCAAGCCGAAGTCGAAGGTCATTTCTCGGTCTAGTAAAGTCGGACTCCAGTTCCCATCGGCCGTGTGGCTCGTTTCCTTAAGAAATTACGATACACAGAGTGTGTCGGATATGGTTTTCCCGTTTATCTCTCGTCGCACTTGAATATCTCGCCGCCGAGGTTCTGGAATTGGCTGGAAATGCGGCAAGGGACAACAAGAAGAACATAATAATTCTGAGGCATATTCAGTTGGCGGTGAGGAACGATGAAGAATTTTCGTAGTGGCTTTTCTTTGTTTAGTTAGTTCTCGTGTTTCTATAGTTTAGCATGATTGACTTCTGCTGACTTGCTGCTTTGAAAGTTGGTGTTCTGTTATGGCATGGTTCTATATGCTTGGATTTCTTATTGAAGTTTGGATACTATGTTGGTTGGTTCTTTGTGTGGTGAGAATATTGCAATTTTGCGTTATATGCGCCTCCAATGTGTTTGGCTAAATGCTTCAGTGGTATTATTGTTCTGTTATGTGTTCACTGCTGGTTGGAAACAAATGTTGACTGGTTTGTGAGGACAAATTTCATTTAGCTCCGCCTCAGATATTTCGTCTTGGCAGGCATCGCTACCAAGCAGCCGAATACCGCCCTCTTTGTAGGATTGAACAAGGGTCATGTTGTGACCAAGAAGGAGTTGGCTCCACATCCCTCTATTTGAAAAGGAAAAACAAGTAAGAGAGTCCATTTCGTGAGGAACTTAATCCAGGAAGTTGTTGGTTTGCACCATACGAAAAGAGGATCACCGAGCTTCTGAAAGTTGGTAAGGACAAGTTCTTTGTAAGTTGATGTTGAATGCTGGACACTGATACAACATTGCTTTGCTCAACTATTGACATTTTGGTTTCTACATTCACTGTTATTTCTTCTCCAAAGGTTGACATGGAACTTTGAGGCTTAACAACCAAGTTACCATAGAAAAAAATTTTGGAGAGGGTTAAAAGTTTAATAACCTTGTCTTCCTTAACCAGACAAAATAAGATGTTTTATTGCCCAAGAAAGGTTTAGATTGTATCCAGGAGTTTGTAGCTTGACCTCCTTGCTTCCAACAAAAAGAAGTCCCAATAAGTGAAAGGAATAACAATAAAGATGAAAAATAACTCTTGAAAAGAAGAAGAAAAAGAAAAGTCGAGAAAAGTTGAAGAAAGAAATGTTTTTAGGTGAAAGAGAATTTTCTGATAAATTATTCATCAAGACGGTAAGACGGTTGAATTTCAACTTATTAAGTTTGCATTCTTTGTTTGATCAACTCTCTAATAACAAGTTCATTTTGAAGAAACTAAAAGCTTTATATCTAAATCATAATAACATTTCATTATCTTATTCAGCTCATATATTCTCTATTTTTCTTTCGGAGAATAATTGTTTATAATTTTATATCCAAATCAGAACAACGAAACTTCCAAAATCATCAAAATCCGGTTTCTCCCGTCCATCGACAATTTTCAAACCAAAAACGTAAAAGAAAATTACTTGAAATGAGGTCGTTGAACCGTTTACCTTTGGGCAGAAGCTCAAAGTGGTGGGGGGTAGTCATTTAGTAAAATACTTCATGAGTGAAATAAAGGTTATGTTACGTTATGTTCTGTTCCATTTTTCCCCCATACTAGAAGTTTACAGTCTTGAAAAGTACAAGGTAATTCTGATGTAATATCTTAACTGATCCGTGACTCACCCAAACTGGAGCTATTCAAGTATGATTGAAGAAACAAAAAGAGGTTCGAGAGAGGTTCGAGAGAGAGAGAGAGAGAGAGAGAACAAATTTGGTGGTATGGCATGCATGCACATGGGGTGCAAAACGCTTTTTTTCGTGTCAGGCCCCCCAGAAAGTACCCCTTTCGGGACCACGTTGTTCCATGTTACACGTGTTACTTCCATTGCAATGTGCACAGTTGTCTCACCTGCTAACCAATCAGCTCACTTCCGTCTACGTTTCCACTGTTAAAAACCCACCAGCCGCCATATTTATTACCTGCCCCACCTTCAACCTCAAAGGTCAATGCCTACCCCAAAAGTTTCCAACAGTTTGATCTAACAAACCGTGCTTGTAAGGAAAGAAGAAAACTAAAAAGCTCGGTAACTTTAGATTTTTGCTCCTTTATCTCTTTCAGGCATCATCTTATCTAAAAAGAATACTTACGTGTACGAGTAAAGAGTAAATTCAGGAGAAGGATAGGGTTTCCTATAAAAACTACACTGATGACTCCATTATGTCTCTAAAATGGACTAAATCGGTGAAGGGTTTTTCTTTAAATCAGTGCTATTAAGGATAGGGTTTCCTATTAAAACTACACTGACGACTCCATTATGTCTCTAAAATGGACCAAATCGGTGAAGAGTTTTTCTTTAAATCAGTGCTATAATGCAAATCTTTGTCTAAATATATGCATTTTATCCTTTTAGGACGGGTAAACGACAAGGCTATCTCTACTACTATATATATTGATTTCTTTGTTGCTAATTAAGTGAAAGTTGTAAAAGGTTTTTTGTTTATTGAATCAATAGCTGGTGTTTTTATTTTACTTTGCTTTCCATTTCCTCTTTACCAAGGTTAAACATGGATTAAGAAAGGATAAGGATGAAACCATCAAAGAGATTCCCCCAGTTTATGAAGAAAATAAATAAATAAATAGAGTTGCGTATGGTATATGAGGAGGGATTCCTTTGCATGCTTTTGAGTTGTTTTTTTGAATTTAATAAACAGCGTTTTCTTAACCAGAGTGCTTAAAAACATTAAATTAATGATTTGTCATGTTTATCCCGACATTTGGAGGTCCTGTTTCCCCAGCTTCCAACTTCATGTGCATGCTTAACAGCAATTGGGCGATTAGATTTGTTGGCTAATGGAAGGTCTTCCCTTGATTAAGGAGAGAATATTTATCAAGCAAATTGCAACCTGCATGAAGAAAAAATAAACACAACTCAATCAGAGTATTCTTAACCATCATTTAGATCACAAATCATACAAGTAGTTTGGTTGTGATACAGCTCGAAGCAGCAAAAGTATGGCATTATGATCAATACCCAGTTTTTTTTTCTTTTGTAACATTTCCTTTCTGGGGTTGTGAAAATGAGACCAAGCCTATGATGACATATAGCACTCAGCCTGAGATTAATGAAACATCTTTTTGAATTTTCAACATGTCCACCAATCAGTAGTTTCACAGGATAAAGAGTTTGTGACACTTTGTTTTTTGGCTCTCTGAGAAAGTTACACCATTATTGATTGTGCATACGTTCATTTGTCTGATGAATATAAAGTTGGCC